AACAGGAATTCAATTAGCATTCCAAACTGCAAAACAAAAAAAATTATAGAAAATACAAAAATTAGCTTGTCAGATCAGGCAAGAAGAAACTTGAACAAATTTATAACTGATTGAAGTAATGAACCAAAACTTAAAAATAGCACATTCAAAATGGCAAAACAAGAGGGGAAAAAAACTTAAAATAGTCACTGCTGATAATGAATGGAAGCATTTCAAAACCCATTTGAAGCTTCTCATTCAGTAATAAACAGCAAGAAATGAGATATAATGCACAAACAAAACGATATAATAGACAAACAATCCCCACGGAAGAGGATTATCGAGGAATATACTAATGCAGTGGCCTAATTTCCAGCAATGCCTAAAGTGGGATTTTGGTAGAGGTAACAAAATAAAGTTTGGTTGGATGTTTGGATAGGTGATGGGAACCTCATGGGACGGTACCCCAGAATATACTCTATTGCTCAAAGAAAAAACATGACAGTTGAGGAAGCTTACCGTATTATCAATTGGGTAACTGTTTGGGTGGTTGAGGTCTCCAGAAACTTGAATGATTGGGAGATTGGTGAGGATCAAGAGTTACTGAAGACTCTTGAGGCAAAACAGTTAAATGTAGACAGTGATCAGGCTGTTTGGAAATGGGAAAAGAGAGGAGAGTTTTCTGTTTCGACTTATTACAGATTTCTGTGTTCTTGGGAGAGTAATAGCAGTTCTGTTTTCCCGACTGTGCAAATATGGAAAACCAAGGCTCTTCCACGTATTGCTTTTTTGGCTTGGGAAGCATCTTTAGAGAAGATCTTAACAATTGATAAAATCAGAAGGGGAATGTATTTGGTTAATAGGTGCTATGGCTGTCTTCAAACGGAGGAGACGTGCATTCATCTTTTGTTGTGGTGTCCTATAACTTACAATCTATGGTGTATAGTGAATGGGCTTTTAGGGATTGCGTGGGTGGTGGCAGTGTCGGTTAGTATGGACATTTGGGTTTGGGATGGTGTATATGTAAAAGGCAATACTGCTAACTTAATTTTTTTGACTGATTTCTTAACTATTTGAAAAGAAAGGAATTCTAAAACTTTTGAGGGTGTTGAGAGTAGTATGTACAAAATAAGGGATAGGTAGATTCATTTTTTAGAGGTTATTTTGTTAGTATATGACATTATTAGTGATGAGAATTTTGGAAATGTCATGGTTTCCCTAACACTTATGTAAATTGTCCATGGGTAGTACCTCCTATTTTTGGTACCATGTTAATATATACCTCACTTGTTTATTTCAAAAACAAAAATTGGCAGAGAAATTATAGTCGACTTTGCACCAGCAGAGAATAGCATATAAATCTATTTGACACCATAATAAATTTGTTGGATTTTAAATGCCAAATGTTGGTGCAGTAAATTTGAAAGCAAAAAACTGATTTTCATTATTCTCAAGAAAAGAGTAGACAACAAAATAAAAATAGAAAAAAGACAAGCTCTTAGAAAAGATAGAAGCATCTACCTGTGTCCCCCAATCACCAACATGGTTTCGTCGTAGAACGTCAACCTTTGAGAACTCAAGCAAACGAGCTAACGTGTCACCAATAATAGTAGATCGTAAGTGACCAACATGCATTTCTTTGGCAATATTGGGTGATGAAAAGTCAACCACAGCTCTTTTGACAGAAATACTAGGTGCCCATGTTTCAACTCCATCAATAAGCATCTTTTGAATGTTCTGCAGATGAAGTACATGTGATTCTTTTAAGGTCAATGGAAGGAATATGATAAGAAAAGCACCTTCAAAAATGGATAACATAACTCAAAAAACTAATGAAATGAGCAAACGAGTATAAGAACAAGGAGAACACCTCAGCCATCCAATTTTTGGATAATACAACATTTACAAATCCAGGTCCAGCTACAGAGCATGATTCTATCATTTTGGATGGTGGAAGATTTTTCATGATGGCCTGTTAAAAATGTAAAAGCAAATAAAAATGACGATTATCATACAAAGCTAACAAGTAAATGTCTGAAACAAGACTGGAAACATCTATAATGTCAATGCTAATACCTGTCCGACTGATGGAGGACCCCTGAATCCACTGCCCTTTCCTTTGATTTTGGACCAGAGGTCCATGGCATTATTACTGCATGTAGAGAAACACATTAAAGAAAAAAAAAATCTGATTTAGCATGCAACAAATGACTCATGGAACCAACTTAAGTCATACCATTGGTAATCGCCAAATTTTGCAGTGCATGCAGCAACTAACGGCTCAACATTAGATTCATCAGGAACTGTTAATTTAAGGGACTCTTCAAAGAGTTTAGCCAATTGTCGCTTTAAATTGCCAATATTCTCTTCATCCTGTGCACAACATTCAAAATCAATACCCAAGATAAACATCTTTGCCATAGTTTAACTTGTGAAAGTATCTCAACTGGGTAATTACAGCTACATTGATTTCCACTATTCAACAATGACATATACGGATAGAAACGCTTAAACAACTTTTTTGGTTTGCATTCGATCAACTTACAGTTGCCATGGTTGATATTGACTGTGTTTTAGTTGCCGAAATAAGTCTTCTTGATGTTGTCCTCAAAAGGTCTGTCTAGTTTCATAGTCACCACATAAATAACTATAAGGATTTGCTTCAACATAATAAAGAATTAAAAAATAAACAAGAAGTAACAAAGAACTGCACGCAAAAAAATCTTCTGTATATTACATGATAGAAACTTCTCCAAATTAACAACTTCCTTAATGTAATGTGACAAGACATTCTGAATATAGTAAGGATTTAAAGTTTAAATTCAGCCTCCGTTCTATTTTGCTAGAATGAATGAAGGATAATGAACAGATAAAAGAACAATAAATTGATTGCAATTACTGTCTCGAACCAAAAAAAAAAAAAAGAGAGAGAGAAGGGAAAATAAAATGTGAGACTGAACATGATCAGATCAGAGAATCCGTTGGTAAATACCTATAAATAAATATTACATTTTAATTCAGGAACTGAAGTCGCTAAAGAGAAATTAAGATTTGGAGTTACTGTTTTCACTAATTTTACTTTACCGCAAAACCTAATAAAATTGGCAAGTCAAATGAGCAACTAAATGGAATCACAACATGTACCCAATCTGTCAATCCCTGGCTTAGAAATCAAGCCAACCAACCAAATAACGCTGAAATAATTTTCTCCCACGGTATACACGCACATACATATATATCAAAAACATATAGATATAGCAAAAACTAGATTCGCCAGCCGCATAAGGCTACTGATTCTTGAATCTTCAACGTAAACATAAAAAGTCTAACCACATGGAAATATAAAGAAACTGTGCTAATAACACGAGCTTAAACGTAATGCGAGTTCAAAGTGGCCACGAAGACAGCAGCATAAAGTAAGGTCAGAAACAAGACTCGAAGTAAAGCAGCAAGTGAATAGAGAGGAACAGAAAACGACAAATGGATACATACGCGTGTACATATAGAGAGAGATGATTTTGAGGTCTCACCAGAAGGAGGCAGAGAGGGAGGAAGACGATTGAAGGATAGGAAATGAGAAGGAGAAACAGGCGAGAGGAAAATGGTAAAGGATGTAAACATAGCAGTTAAGTATTAGCCCCCTTTATAATTTCCTTGTTTTTTAATTTCCTTTAAAAGAATTGTCTGCGCAAAAAGACCCTCACAGCATCACTTGCCTTCTCTTACACGCTCAAAGGTTTTGATAGTTTCTGTCTCTGCTTGCATTCAACTTTAGGGCTTGGAGAAAGCCATTTCTTTACTGGGCTTCCCTGCTTTGGATAGAGTACAGTTATTTTGGTTCGCCAATGAAATGTTGACAAGTAAGAGACGATTGTTGCCGTGAACCACTAACCAAAATTTAATGTTTTTTTCCTTAACAATCTAACATTATATATATGTATATATTAAATATAACCAAGTCTTTTGTGATTTAAATTATATATATTAATAGAATAAATTATTAAATTAATTTATAATTTTAATTTTAATATTTTTTTATTATAATTAAATAATTTTTGATATTTTTTAAATCTATTTCAATTACTCTTTTTATTTTTATTTTTAACAAAATAAATCAAAATTATTAATTAATTATAGTTAATTTTTAAAGTATTAAAACATCATCTAATCATTTAACAAATAAAAAATTTTATGGACAAACTTATAATCAATTAAAAATTTAAAATTAAATTATAATAAATATCAAACATCATAAACTAATTTAGTAATTTATTGAATACATTATAGTCTATTGTGTTTAGTATTTGTGATTTATTTCTGACTTTATTATTTAATTTAAAATTATTAGTTTCTTCAAGTTATTATTTTTTATTGTAATTTATTTAGTTTAGATTTTTAAATATTTATATTTAAAAATCGAAATATGTATTTTTAAATATTCTCTAAAAATATTTCATAAAAGAGTAACAAAAAAAATTAAACCACGTAATACCATATTATCATAAAATAAACACCAAATTTTGAATTAGTTAACTTAAAAAATAATAATAAAAGTATATTTTTATTATGTATTTAGATAAATAAACAAATACAATATTAAAATATTATTAGTTATAACTGCATAAATTATATATAGAGATAAATAAGTGATTAAAAGATAATCAATTTGGTAAATAAGAATAAAATATTGAAAATATTTGAACATAATTTCACTAAGACTCATTATTTAAATGATACTGTACGTTAAAATAATAAATTATTATAAAAAAGTTAATTAAATATTTAAATAAAAAATTATTAGTATTTATCATGGTTTAATTTATTTTAATTTAATAATGAAATTGTCCATAAATGCTGAAAATATATGTAGTTATCAACTTTTGTTTTTTTTTTTTAATGTAGTAGTTGTTAACTTTTTTTAACCATAAGAATACTTGAAATTTTTATAATGTAAAACAAAGCATACTGATGTAGGTGAAAAGTATTTTGGAAATTGCAAAGGTTACTATTAAAGTTTATTGAAATTAAGAACCATTGATTTTTAAAATAAACTGTCATTAAATATTGTTGATACCCACTTGACTTCATTATACCCAATAGATATGAAATATGTTATTTTTTGTTTATAAATATAAACCATATAAATTTATTTATTTATTTACCAACTAAATAAACAATACATATTACATCCATTTATTTTTTAATTCTAAGTTTATACAAACAATATTTCAACGGTCAAGTCTTGGAATCTTTGAAGTTTTTATGGATTCAATTTATTGACTTTGGTGTATACTATATTTATGCTTGGAGGGCACACCACGATTTTATATATGCAAGTAAACCACCTCAAGCTTATTAGAGAGAAGAAGAAAAAAAAAAAAAAAAAAGAGAAAAAGAAAAAAACACTCTGATTAGAGAAAAAATTTCAAATTATTATTTGTGATCATTGTGCCATGTGTACGGCGGCAAGTAATCTTATTATCTAAACCAAATAAATAATCTAATACTTAAACAGACTGTCCATGGCACCTCATCTCGTAAATAATTATTTTTGATTTGTTCGTTTTTATCCATTTCGTGGCCCTGGATTCCAAGCCCACACACTGGCCTACCCATAGAATCAAGCTGCTACTGTTTTCCTCGGCTCATATAAATACACCCTCTCACGCCTACTTCCACCACGCGTCACACTAAGCAGAGAGAATTTGAGATCGGAAGATGAAGAACAGTGGGAAAAGCCAAAAGAGCAGTACGGGTAAGTCTGATGCGAGGAAAGACAGGAGATCTGCGACGGGAATGAGTGGATCGCCGAAGAAAGGCGGACATGGCGGTAAGTTCACGTGGTCCGGCGATGGGTACTCGCGAGCTGAGATCGGGCGAGAGAGAGAGGCTATGGACGCTAAGGATCCTAACTTTGAAGATCCAGAGGAGATCGAGGAGACTGCTAATTGAAGATGGCGATGGTTTTCGTTTTATAATTTGCGGTAATGTTAACAGTAGATTTGTAAATATCTCGTGTAATGGATCATCATCTGGTCCTTATTTAAATAAGAATCCGCAGTGGTACTTATGATCTGCTGTATTAATTCGCCGATGATGCTTAAGTGTATGTATTAAAGATTAATTTCAGTCAAATCTTCTTTTTTAATTTAAAAAAAGAATGCAGGTGTTTGTTGGAGGAAGAACTGCACTTTAAGGAAAGAGAAATAATTTGTGAACTACGTATATAAAATATAAAAATGATAATTTATAGTGCATATAAATATTTAAATAAAAAATGTGAAATATTAACACGATTTAAATCACAAAATTAAAGAATAAATCTCAAAGTATGTAGTTTGAGATAAACTAAAATTGAAATGAAAAAGATAAAGATCTTAATTAAACTAAAATTTAAAAATTAATGGATAAAGCTTTCTAACGAATTATTAGTTTTTGAAGCCAGATAATATAATATTTATATAGATAAATATTAAAATAATATAATTTTAAACTTTTAAAATATCTTTAAAATAAAATTAATATTAATATATATTTTAAAATAAAATTTTAATTTAGTTGATTAAAAAAATTAACTCTATGTATATATCCTAATCTAAATATATACAGTAATTATTTTAGTTTAATTGATATATACATGTAATGGATAAAAAAATTAAAATGATATTATTCATAATAATTATCTATTTAATTTTTGTAAATATAAAAATTTTATTTGACTATAAAACATCTTATTTATCACGTAAATATTTTACCAAAAATTAAAGTGTAATAATTATTCTATATTTTCATTAAAAATCTTTTTATTTTTATAAAATTTTTAGTTATATAACGGACTGAAAATAATATAGCGGGATAAACAAAAATATTTTTTTTATAATTAAGTAAAAAATTTAAAAGTTAATAGTGGAGAATATATTATTAAAAAAGTAAGTCTTATCATTTATACTTAAAAAATAAATATTATCGTTAAATTTATCATTTACTTATCTGCTGTTTTAAAGAATTCTTGAGGATCTGAATTATCAACCTGAAGCGAATTCGTCGGCCAACGGAGGAGACTCAATATCATGAGAGCAGCCCGTTACTGGAAGCCATCTGTACAACTCCAAACTGCTGAACCAGCCAAGTCAAGAAAACCGAAATCAACCCAATCACTCCCTTCTCCTCCATCCCGCTCTTCGCTTGCTTCTCTGGAATTAAAACTACCAAAAAATTAACAAGAAAACTCAGAAAAAGGGAGAGGAGGCAAACAAAAAATGTGGCACAATTGAAGTAGATTACATAATTTATCGGAAAACCACCTGAGAGGGAGAAAGGAGGAAATAATGGGGAACAAAATCGCCAGAACCACACAGGTGTCGGCCTCCGAGTACTACCTGCACGACCTGCCTTCTTCCTACAATCTGGTGCTGAAGGAGGTGCTCGGTCGAAGCCGATTCTTCAAGTCGATCCTCTGCAAGCACGACGAGGGGTTGGTGCTGGTTAAGGTCTACTTCAAGCGCGGCGACTTCATCGATCTCAGGGAGTATGAGCGTCGTCTCGCCAAGATCAAGGATACCTTCTTCGCCGTTGAAAATCCACATGTCTGGCCCTTTCAGGTCGAATTCAATTCCGACCTTTCTTTTCCCCTTCGTTATTGGATTCTTTTTAATGTGTATTGGTGTTTGTGGCTGAGGAAGATATGGAAACTTTTGCGTCGCTGGGGTTTTGAATAGTGGGATCTTAGATGACTGACGTGTGCCGAACTGGCTAATGGAGAAGATACTGGAGCCTTCGAGTAACTGTTTTGATTACCAGGAAGGAGAGAATTACAGAGCTGCTTAATTAACTTTGAAATTCCCATAGCTTTTGTTTTGTTTTTATTTAATTGTGGATTTGTAGCTCTATGTTGCGGCATTGCTGCTGATTTTGTTGGAAGTTTTATTTTCTTGTCTTTTTTATGGGTGTTTAACAGGCTCTTAAGCAGAGCTTTACCGTTGGAATTTCTCATGCGTTTTGCAGTTTTGGCAAGAAACAGATAAAGCAGCTTATTTATTGAGACAATACTTTTTCAATAATTTACACGATCGATTGAGTACTCGGCCTTTCCTTAGTCTTGTGGAGAAAAAATGGCTCGCGTTTCAGGTCTCTCTCTTTAGCTTTCTTCCTCCGATATTACTCCCCCCGCTTCCTCATTTTCATTGTGAACCCGAAGAGTCAAGTTTCATGTTTCTCTTCTGGTTCGTTGTGCAGTTACTTCTTGCTGTGAAGCAGTGCCATGAACAAAATATCTGCCATGGTGAGTTGTGTTTGTTTACTGGAGCATTCTCATGTTATCACCTTATGCTAATTTGGAACTTTACAGGTGATATTAAGTGTGAGAATGTGCTGGTCACTTCGTGGAATTGGCTATACCTTGCTGATTTTGCCTCATTCAAACCCACATATATTCCCTATGATGATCCCTCAGATTTCTCATTCTTCTTTGACACAGGAGGAAGAAGACTGTGTTATCTAGCTCCAGAGGTTAACTTTATTTCTTCTTTAATGTTGTTTTACTTTAAAGCTTTAGTTTTCTACTTCTATTTTTTGGCTTACTGACTGGAGGAATCCTTAATCTGAGCTCATCCTTGTGGCTTAACAATTATATAATTAACGATTTACTGATGTTGTGTGGTTTAAACTTTATATATCCTTATTCAAGTTTTTTCTTTTATTTTTTTTCACATTCAGGTTCTTTATTTTCTAATATGAATTCTAGAACAGTAAATACTATTGAGTAATTGAGACAACAGGGTATCACAAACTTTGGAGTTTAGATGATGGGTACTTCTGAATCATTGTTGATGTGTTTGTGAGACTGCAAAATATGCCTTATTATGACTGATATAGGTTATTTCCATTTTGATTTTGTTAATTACAGGCATCTTAGTGATGAGATTCCTGTGTGGCTGGCTGTCGTATGCCAATGCTTTAGCTGAGAAGATTTCTTTTGTCTCCTGCCCCCTGAGTCAATTGTTAAAATTGCTTGATTGTTTTTGACGAAACATAATAGTTTATTTCAGTCTTTTTTCCCTCTAAAATGACTTAATTAAATACCTAGTTTTCCTTCTATTTATTCTGTTACTTGTGCAATTTTTAAAATTTTAGATTGTAAATAACTTGTTTATCGACCCACAGAGATTTTATGAGCATGGAGGAGAGATGCAAGTAGCACAAGATGCTCCTTTGAAACCATCAATGGACATATTTGCAGTTGGGTGAGCATGTTCAATTATCAGATTCTGAATAATCTCGGAGCTAATTTGAAGCTGGTTTTGAGTTATCTGATTCTTTTTCGTTTTTTATGTATTCTAAAATTTCGATGTTCATGATATATATGTCTTTTACCACCTGTATTGTATCATGTTATAGTTTTTAAAAATATCTTAGAGGTAAAGCATTCAAATTTCTATCCTTTACTTTGTTCAAGGCTGTATTATCATCTTCTGACTATGTAGTTGTGTCACCTTTTTTTTGGAAGGTTATGTAATAGTGCCATTTTGATCCACCAGGTGTGTAATAGCGGAGCTTTTCCTTGAGGGTCAGCCACTTTTTGAACTCTCTCAGCTTCTAGCTTATCGCCGAGGACAATATGATCCTAGCCAACATCTTGAAAAGGCAAACTTCTCTTTCTCTCCCTTTTCTATTTTATATTTTATGCTTCATGGTTTCTTTTCATTTTGATTCTTTAGCCTTTCATTTACATGCGGAAATGTAAAATTTAATTTTTAAATAAGAATTTCAAGATTGAGCTATATGTCTCTATGCACACTTCCTCTGTTCTCTAGGCAAAACTATGCTTGCATGCTTCTTTGTAGACTTAATCTTCTTCAGTCTCTTATTTTATTATACTTCTAGGGAACTTGAGGTATGTGTTTGATTATGACTTAAATTGCAGCAAGTTTCTATTTAACTCTTTCTTTATTGTTCTCATGTTCTCTCCTATTTGTGTCTGAGGTCTTTTGGGCAATTGCTTTCCGTGCATGTAGATCCCA